TACAGTGTTGAAATCACATGGGAGACCATTGTTCAGATCCTGGGTTGACCCAAAGCATGCCAGGTATGTGTGTGCATGCCAGCAAGTCTCACTTAGCTGGAAGACTGGGAGCCAGAGGGATGTTACCCTTGTAAAGGGTTAATTAAAATCTGAGCATTCAAAAGATACCAATAGTAGTAATTGTTATCCCTACATTAAAGGTTTTCTTTGGTCATTAAGTAGTTTAGGAACAGGGTTGTCTCCAGGGTACAGCAATAATGTGCTGCTCAAGAGAATGTTGGATCTTTTGTTAAGACCGTGGTTCAAATCCCTAGCCCAGTCAGCCTAAAACCCTAATATCAATATATGAGTGCTCAGGAGACTGGAGGAAAGGAATTGCAATATGACCAGACCCTTTGTAAGGTGCTCTTCTCTCTCGCTCGCTCGCTCGGTCTCTCTCTGTCTCTCTCTCATTCTTTCATATGCACAGGCAAGCATTTGATCAAGAATACAACTTTAAAAGTAAAAATTTAAAAAGCCTAGGAAAAATGTTATTCTCTGACTGTTTTCCCTAATAGGATGATTGCTCCTTAACTCAAAGCAAAAATTGAAGGTCAGGACTTTGATATTTCCTTCCTTCTTCCAGAAGAGCACAGGGGTGTGTGCTCCTTCCTGTTGGGATAAACTACAATTTAGAAAGAAATCCATAAAATAAATATTTTCTACTATCTACTTCAATTATTTTGAACAAAGGTGACATGGACATCTAACATGAAGAATGCTGTCATTAGTCACATACAGAAAACAGATGCAGAAAATACAGCCCACCCTCTAAGGCCTTAGCAAAAAGTAAGAAGAGATAGCCACACTGATATACACATAATCCATCTACATCGCCAGCAAAGTAAACACCAACTCTTCTACTGGGAACTCAATGGAGAAAGCATGTTTGTGTCTCCAACAAGAAAAGCAAATTTGAGTATAATACTGTAACAAAGATTCACTCACATTTTCTTATTTGCAGGGTTGACATTTTCAGTGTTTATCTTGAAAAGCAATAGTGGGTCAGTCTGACATGCTTTTTAGAGCGTCCTAACTTAAACTTAAGAGAATTGGTTCAGGTTGATAATGATAATGGCAAAAATGAAATCCTGTTTATAAAACTGCCATGCCAGAAAAAGCACACCTCTTGTAGAAGAGCCCTGATTAATGTGTTAGCTGCTACACACAATATTCAATATTCCGACAAAACTGTCCAGCACAACAAAAGGTTGCAGACAGATAGTATCTTGGAGTCTGCTGTAATGGGATTTGACAAGAGCCAGGCACTTTAGGCAGGCTCAATCAATGTTAATTGAAGCAGAAGTGATTCAAAGGCAAATAGGAGTCCTTGAGAGGTGAGAGGGGGGTTTTAGGATTGTGACTTTCTCCTTTTCCCATTACCTCCTTATATTTAATTACTTGTTCTGGCCGGTGAATTGTAATTTGATTTGCCATCAGGTGACTTTTGCCTGATCTCATATATGTTAGTTGAGTCTTTCATTTAAAGGAAAAATATTTCACAATGTGTGGAGGTGCTTGTTTCAAAGGAAGGAAATCATTCTCTGGTAACCAGGTCTCAGGTTTACCAAGCCCTCTTTCCTGTTCCTAACAGAACAGAATATAAAAAGGACAAAAGGAGTAGCCCTGTCTTGAAAGACATTGTGACATTTTCTCTGGTGCATTATGATTTCCATAACTGACCAACATCAGTTTTGGATTAGACTGAGCTCCCTGCAGAAGCCAACCTTAAAATGGGAATGTATGCGTAAATTAACTACATAGTGGGGACATAATCCTGGAAGACACTAGTTAAGAAGTAAAGAATGAGGGCTGGCAGGTGGTGTGGTGAAGGGTGCTGGGCTCCTATGTGGCCAACCTGGTTAGAGTCCTGGATCTGGTGGCTGGTTTTCTCAGTTTCTCTCTCTTTCTTTGTCCCTCTCTAGTCAAATTAAAATACATAAATAAAGTTAAATTTAAAAACTTCTAAAAAAAAAAAAACTGACATGAAGAATGAAACACCAAAGAAAAGACAGCTAACGAAAGTGGTTTTGCAAACTTGTCACCACCATGGCCTCACTAGGGAGGAATGTCGCTTCACTGTGGAACTCAGAGTCAATATAGAACAAGCCTCAGTCTGTCTACACAAGCGGTAAGGGAGGTGGGATTTTTATATCCCAACTCTCTTCTGTCATTGGTTGAGTGCTAGTTTTGAGAAGGTAGGGGAATGAACTTCTGGCAGGTGATGTACCAAGGCACCCAGGCTGGAGAAAGTCCACAGAAACCTGGACTGGGTGCCAAGTGCATCTGCTACCCCCTGTCTGCAATTGTGTACACAGCTGTAAATTCCGCCGGTCCTTCAAACAGATATACCCACCGCCACCCTCTAGATAAGCTACTGGAAGGAACTGGGAAGAGGTGGTAGTTCAGTCTCATGTGAATGATATCCTTTGACAGAGACATTAGGTTAGAGTTAATATCATTTTGTGCAAGAATCGAATATTGTTCCTTCTTTAGTTTGATGCTCCTTCATTTATCCTTTCCATAGCTCTTGGCCTCAACATGCACATCAATTAGGACTTCCTCTGAATCCACTGTACCACAGCCTTAGACTGTTATACCAGAGGTGGAACTCAGCATACAGTAGGTTCAACTTGGACCCCATCTAGAAGTATTGTTTTATTTTGAATTTTTTAAAATATTTACTTTTCTGATCAACTTAGTTGGCATTCATTTGGCAAGAACTTGGATAATCATTGTGGAAAGCCTGCAGGAGAGGACAATACTGAAGAGCCCCAAATTGCCAATAAGGACAATAAAGTTTCAAAGATGAGATTCAAAGCGATAAGCAAGTAATCAGTTGGATAAGGCCGGGAGCCCAGGTGAAGAAATAGCTGGTCTAGTGGCGAAGAGCCAATGCTTTGGGTTATGCAGACCTGATTCATCCCACCTATGGCTCTCACTAACCAGATGGCCTGGGCCAGTTACCTAACCACTTTATGCCCAATTTCTCACATAGGTCATAGAGGCAGTGAGAGTATCTACCCATCTGATCATTGAAATACTAAATGAGCCAGTGTTTGTAAGTGCTTTGCCTAGTGTCTGGCATACAAAAAGGGCACAATAACTCTTAACTTGCTTTTGCAATTATTACTGCCATTTTGATAACTTCAATGTAGATAGCAAAATGTGGTCTTTCTACTATGCATGGTTTTGAAGGGCTGGGATGGTATCTGTAAGACTATCATGTAAGAGAAATATAACTTCACTTGCCAGACAGCATGAAATGAATAATCTTAGCTTTTGGTTTTCCTTCACATTTAGGCCATCCTAAAATCTCAGATGTGGTGGTGGAGAGTGCTGAGGTCTTTTCAAAAGTGCTTTTTACTAACATGACAGATAGAGTCTAATGAGGCTTTCAATGGATTGAATTTTTCCCCACAGTGTATGAGACCTTGTTATCAAGATTTACAGACTGACCTGCCCTTGGATCGCAGGGCCCTGATGTTGCAAACAGGTGTCTCAGATATCTATGTGCACAGTAAATAATCCTCTGTGAAAAGGGTAGTATCATCTCTGTGGGGTGGAGGAGGTGAGGAGAATAAGATATCTGCCCTCTTCCACAGGAAGAGGAACTAAGGAATTGAGGTACTTGGCTATGTGGCCAAGATAGGTAGCAGCAGATTTCATCTCCTCATTTTCACTCCATGAATCTTTACTTTTCATTCCTATAGAACTCAGATGTTACTCAGTGCTCTTATTCAAAGGTCAACTATAAGGAATTGAAAAGTTTATTCAGTTCTTCAATAGCAAATAAAGTAACCACTATTGATTGAGTGTTGTCTCATCTAAGCATGTTTTTAGCACTATCTGTGTGATACCCTTTTTATAGGCCACCTATCACCATAACTATTGGAAATGCCATTATTCTCATTTCGCATATGAGAAAGTTCTAGCTCAGAGAGATTATGGCTTGTTTAGCATCCCATAAAAACAAATGGGAAGTCTAGAATTAGAAAACAATGATAGATGATAATGCAACTGCCTAGCAGGGTTATGCAGTGACTAAAGATTTCTGAAGTTGACTATCAATATGAAGAGTAGAAAAGGTGGCCACACAACACAACTCTGACTCCAGATGTAGACAACGAATAGCTCTTGTACCATTTCCAAAAGAGCAACAATGCTGCATGTAGTTGAGGTATTTGGTAGTTAACCACTCACAGGTCTACACTAGACTTTCTTACAAAGCTATTAAGGACACAGTCTGGTAGGAAATTGACAGAGACCTTGTCACTGAGTTAACTGAAGATGTTTTATTGCAAGGCAGGCACAATTACAGAACAGAAAAACCCCACAATTTTCATAAGCTGAATCTCAGAAACATGCCTTGTTCTTTAATCCCTCCAAAATGAGCAGATCTGCAGACAGATCTGAGCAATCCTTGATGAAGTCTGTTGATTTCATTCCTCCTTTGTCTTTCAAAATGGCATTGCAAAACCAACCACATACTGTTGGCTAGCTTACATTCAGGGTATTTGAAGCGACTTTTGATATTTATAATTTCTTCTTCATTCTAGCCACAGGATCAGCCAGGAATTAAATTTCAATCTATAAAGTTTTATTTCTTGTAGTGTAACATACATATCAACTAGTGTGCAAGAGCCCCAGGTATAATGTATGTTTGATGATATTTCAACTCGAACCGATTCCATGTTGAGAACGCTTCAGTAACTGAGCAAATGTGACTCAGGCCATTACCTAGATCTAAACTTAAAAACCAGAAAGGAAGAAAGAGAGAAAATGTATTTTTAATCTGAGGATCAGTACTACACAAATCAAAGCACATAGCCCCATCTACTAGGTAACCTGGGATTGCGATTCAGAAAATCTCTAGAAATAGAATTTGTTCATCAACAAGGCTAATTTCAGCACAGAAATATAATTCTTAAAGCAATTTTAAAAATAAATAATTTCCAGGGCCAAGAAAAGAAAAAATAAATAAAAAAAGAAGAAGAAGAAAAGAAAGCCAACCAGTCAAAAGCATCTAGAACTATGTGTTATGCAAGTGACAGTACAGGAAAAACAGTCCAGTGCAGAAGTATAGCTCAGAGAACTTCAGTCTGAAGGGATTCTGGGCTTGAGTCCCACTCTAGGTGATTCTTGGTTCCAACTACTGTGGTTCCATCCTGTGAGTCAACATCATCTTCCTCAGCGTCTTTGAGCAGTTCCCCAGGATAACTGAGAAGGTAGTTCATCCTCTGCACAAAAAGTGAGGCCTGTGAAATGACACACAGGAAACAGCCCGTGAGGCCTGGGCCCAAGCAATTTAATAGCTAAAGGCTGATGGAGTTAAGGGGTAGAGGAAAGAGGGGATGGTTCCTCACCTCCTCCCAGCTTGCTTCTTGCTGCCTCTCCAAGAGAGGAAAGGCTGGATGGTTCCTCACCTCCTCCCAGCTTGCTTCTTGCTGCCTCTCCAAGAGAATAGCTTTATGCTTTGGAACATCCAGTGGCTTGGAATCTTGGAAATCTTGTAGTGAGCTCACTGCAGTATCCAGCACTTTGCATCCCATCATATCCCTGTTGACAAGAACATAAAATAAATACCCTGGCATCAGTGGCCTATGGAATCTTGAGTAGGAGACACAACAGAGCAACACAGATACACAGAAAAGGAGGGAAGGGAGGACAAGAGAGAATAAAACTGAGAAAGGATACTCTACCTGCCACCTTTCCCTGGGATTCCCCTAGGTGGTCGTATCCTGGACTGAAGGCTTGAGGTGATTTCTAAGAACGCCCAGAGGTCTCAAAGGTCTGAAAGGTCAGGAGGCATCTTTCCACTGCCATGCGGGCACCTGAACTCAAAACTCAGCTCCTTGGGAACCTCATCCAGCCTTGCCCCAACTCTCCTGAGTGGATCCTGTCACTGAAGTACTACATAACAGAGAGCAAAATGCAGTTGAAAATTAGCAGGCTGTCCTCCTTGTCCCTGTGCCTTGGGGTGGTAGTCAAGGAAAGGCTGGGGCATAGGCTCGGTTAGGTACCAACAACATGGTCTTCTCATTGTGGTTTCAATGTTCAAGTCAGCCACTCTCAACTTCCCAACAATGCCAAAAGCTCTATGAAGATTCCTCTAGTCCCATGGTCCATGGCCTTTGGTTCAATCTAGCTTGCTTGTTGACTCCAAGGTATCACTCAGATTCCAGAGAAAGCTTCCATCCCAGCTAAGCCTCCTGCCTGAGGCAGAAGGACTCCGGCCATGCAGATTAGAGACACTGGGGCTCTACTTTCCAAATCTATGGAAAGTCCAATGCTACCTCTTTGTCCTTTGAGCAACTGTCTCTCCAGAACACATGTAAGTATCTCATAGTGAAGAACATGGGTAGGAAATCATAAAAGTTGAAATGCTACCAAGAAAGCCATGTAGAAAGATATTCTGTAAATATCAGAGACAGTGTGGATGAAGGGTGAAAAATGGCAGAGGGTGAGAAGGAGGGAATCGGGGGGTGGAAGAAGCAAAATACATAATAAATGGAAAATTAGTAGTTGACGATAACGTGTGTGGTAAAATCTTTGATGGAGCCAATATACAGTGTATTTTGGTTGGGAAAGCTCATTTTGTATGCTACAATAATATACAGCGAATGAATATAAAATAAATAAATTTAAAATAAAAAATTAATTAATAAAAATAAAATTAAAAAAAAAAAAAAGACATTCAGGAGAAACCTCCAAACCCAGATACCACTGGCATACTTAAGGTAGAGGCTGGGCTGCCCAGGATATACATAGAGGCTGGTCTGCCTAGGATATACATAATAAAGTAGGCCCATTATCTGGGGCTAGCAGGTGACCTGGTAGTTAAGGGTGCTGGACTCCCACATGATTGACAGCGGTTCAAGTCCCAGACTTGGTGGCCTGCTTTCTCTCTCTCTCCCCCTCCCACCAATGCCACTGATCAAATTAAAATTAATTAATTAATTAGTCACATTATCTGTGGAAATCTGAACGAATAATAAAATAAACATACAGGCTACTTTTTACTATGACTAGACACTGGCAATTCTAAATAAGGTGGAAACGAAATAATGCTCCCTATCCTGAAAGATCTCCCTTTGTCATCCCATCATGGTTAACTGTTCATGGTGTCCTGGGCCTGCCAGAGCCTTTGCTTCTGCTCCTCCTTCTGCTTGGAGTCATCTCACCAGCCCCCCATCCAACTCACTGTTGAGCCCATTTCAAATGTTCCCTCTTCACTGAAGTCTTTTAAGACCCTCTCAACCAAGAGTAATCCCTCTTCCTCCTCTTAACCCTTAGAGCAATAGAGCCATATTCTTTTATTTAAAAATGTAAATGTGTTATTTCCCCTGTTAACAGACATCAAGGTAAAAGCACATATGGGATTTGGTATTAGTTCTGGGTTAGAATACCACTTTTCAGGGGCTGGCAGGTGACATGGATGTTAAGGGCACTGGACTCCCACATGGCTCACCATAGTTCGAGTCCCAGACCTGGTGGCTTACTTTCTCACTTTCTCTCTCTCTGTTTCTGTCCCTCTCTGGTCAAATTAAAAATAAATAAAGTTAAATAAAATAATTCTTTAATAAAAAATAAGACCAGTTCTCCCCTTGAACTAGCTATGTGATGCTGGGCTAGTTATTCAACCTCTTTAGCTTGTTTCCACATCTATAAAAGAGGCAGAATATCACCTATTTCTCAGGGTTGTTGACTTAAATGAGTTAATGCACACAAACTATCTGGCTGGAGATAACATAGCCTGTACAGGTATTTGTTTCTCTTCTCTTCGCCTTAAGGGAAGAATTTTATTCTTTCTTCTTTGTCCTCCTCTCTCCTCTCCCACTGGACTTATCAAGATAAGTCACGAAATGTGCAGGGTACAGAAATGTGGAAGGTATTGAAAGTGAGGGTAGAGAGATCTAGTCAGAGGAGGAAATACAAGAAGATGTGTTAAATGTCTGGATCAGAACCTGGGGCATTGTGTGAATTGTGTAAGTGCATGTTAGACAAAATCATTTTGTGAGTTAATGTAGGATTCTTTGTTTCCTTGAAGTACACCAAACATAAATTATCAAGATGTTCCTTCCACTGATTCAATCTCCCTCTCACTTCCCCAAATTAAAAAAAAAAAAAAAAAAAAAGGCAGGGAACAATAGAGATGACAGAGTGTTTAGAAAAAGCACATTAGGTTAGTACAAAAAGACCTGTTCCCCTTTAAACAACATGCATTGAGGATTCATGATATACCAGGAACCGTGCTAATTCCATTGAAAATGCAAGGAGTCTTTAAAGACTTCATGCAAAATATGTATAATGGAAAAAAAAAACCATGGATTTAAATGGTTTTTTGCACCAAAATAAACTCGTACTTTAACTGCATTTTTCCACAAACTTTTTCAAGTTCCCCATAATGTCTCATTTAACATGAATCCTCTGAGGTGCTACCTTAACTATCTCTGCTTTACAGATGCAATGTTGAGGCACCTGTCCATGGACACACAACCAGTAAACTGCAGAGTCAGCTTGAAAACGAGGTTTTGGAGCCTTGTTCTCACTTACTATGGGTCTATTGCAGAGCTTACTGCAGTGATGAAATGGTCTCTGCTATCTAATACGGTACTCACTAGTCACATGGAACTACTGACCTCTTGGAATGGAGCTACTGTGAGTTAGAAACTATATTTTAAATTTTACTTGAGCTTGGGATCAGCAGATGGCATAATGGCTACAACGCTGGACTCCCATGTAGTCACCCATGGTTCGAGTCCCGGACCTGGTGGCTTAAACTCATGTCAGGCATGTGTCTGTGCATGTCCAAGATCCCAAGAGGAGAATGGAGGAGAAGGGATTGCGGTGTGGCCATCCTCCCTGGGGGGATGATTTCTCGCTTTCTGTCTCTCTGTCTCTCTCTGTCTTTCTGGTGAGCACATGCGCCCTATAGCAAAAACTTCTTAAAACATTTTTTTTTACTTGACTTTAGGTAGCCACAGGTGTCTAGTGGTTACCATATGGGACAGTGCATGTGTGTTGTACCTTAAACGTCCACCTCACACAGGCTTCTAGTTTTATCGCTGGAAGTGACATGATTTGCCCTAGGAGTGACGTTAGGGCAGAATGTTTACAGTGGGAAGCAGCATTGCTGACAGTGGAGCACAAGGGCAAAGGTTGTGGAGCAAGATACCCTTGAGTTTGAAATTCGGGTCCTACTGTTCACTGTCTGTGCCCACGGCACGTTCACCTCCCTGTGTATCCAATCCCTCTTCTGTTAAGGCAGCATGATGATACGACTGAGGGTCAATGTGGTCTTCCCATGTAGGTAACACAGCACACCAGCACAGAAGACAGAGTGGTTAGCTCACACTGGTACAATTCAAGGTAGACACACGATTTACATGAATTCTCCTATTCTTGGTAAGATGGAGGAGGAAAGAGGGAAAGACGCTAACAACATGGGTGGTTGGGAGAAGGAGGTTTTCTACTTTCATTCCCCCCACCCCCATGTACATATAGATGCCATAGAGTGAGCATGAGATGAGAGACACAAATCCGTTTCCTCACCCCAGTAGACTCTCACAGTCTTAGCGTACGAGTCCAGCGTTTATATGGGATTCTCCTCTAATGCCCTGACCTCAGAACCTAACCACTCCCCACACCCCAGGCAAGTAATGCGCCTCAATGTTATCTGCCTCCAGAAGCAGGTTCCTACATATGGGCTACCATTATAATTACTTTTATAACAGTCAGATTTTCATCTCAGCCAGTCTTAGGTATTTTGTTTTTGCTAGTATGCTCACATGTATTTATTCTCTCTCTCTTTTCCCCTTTCTTCCACTTCCCTTCTCATTTGCACATGTGCGTGTGCAGGCTCTCTTTCTCCATTGAGTATTTTTAAATTTTTTAAAAGAGATTTTTGCTATTGGGCATGTACACTCACCAGAGAGACAAAGAGAGACACAGAGACAGAAAGTGAGAAATCACACATCCTCCCAAGGGTGATAGCCATGCCACAATCCCTTATCGTCCATTCTCCTCTTGGGATCTTGGGTGTGCATGCACACGCACCCAACGTGAGTTTCAAACCTCTAGGCTTGGGACTCGAACAGCATCGGCCATGTGGGAGTCCAGCGAAGTAATCATGGTGCCATCTGCTGGTCCCTCTTGCCGTTGGTGTTTTTAACTTAATTGCCTGTCTCTCCAAATCCACCCTGCTTTGTGATGTTGGAGCTGCCTAGGAAAGGCATGTCTTTCTGAAGCTTACTGATTCTCTGTTAGGCTCTGCCAATAAGGGATGCCAGGGTGTGACTGGAGGCAGGAGGAGGAGAAGAAATTGGCTCCTAATTTGTTTCCTGTTTTTCATCCTGGCAGCAGCAATTGGTTCCAGTAAAAGCAATTGATTTTACTCTGCAGTTTCTCTAGATAGCTAGCATCAGTTTGATTGTACCCCCTTCAGGGATACTAACACAGTAAACCACCCAGTGCCCCCTCCTAAGAAGTCTGACTTCCCTGTCTACAAGGTCCCTAGTTCATGCCATTATTCTATTTTCTGTCCTTTGTCTTCTAGTCCCAGTCCTGAAGTACAGCTATTTCCTGCAGTTTACTACTTAATATCTGGTTATTATAGTAATTGTTTTTGTTAAAGTAACTGGTGTAGGATAGGGCTGGCCCTGTGGCCCAAAGGTTAAGGGAGCTGCATCCTACATGGTCAACTGTGGTTCAAATCTCAACCCCAGTGGCTTGAAAATTATACTGGGTGTATATGAGTACATGCCCCAGATCCTGACAGGAAAGAGAAATGAAAGAGAAGGGATTGTGGCAGGATTGTGCCCCACTGTGGGAGGGGTCTCTCTCTCTCTCTCTCTACCTCTCCCTCTCTCCCTCTCCCTCCCTGATGAACACATGTACTCTCTGGCAATAACATTAACAACAATAAAAAGTAATTAGTGTAGCCTCCTCTCCTGACTCGACTGAATAGACCTTCTGTTTCCTGACTCAGCCTGATAGACATTTTCTTTCCCTCGTGCACAGACACAACTATATTTTTTGTTGTTT